GGGTGCTCAGACCGTGTCCAGCTGTGCCCGCGGGGTGCTCAGACCGTGTCCAGCTGTTGCTGCAGGGTGCTCAGGCAGAGCAGCTCCTGGCTGTGTCTCTGGCTCTTGTGGGTCAGCAGCGCCCGGTAGAAGTGCAGGGCGAAGAGGGCGAACAGCAGCCCCGCGGGAACCATCACCACGGTGGCCACCAGGGCGGCGCCGTACCCCTCGCTGCTCCTGCCCCCCTCCACCGCTGCCTCGGAGGAGTTTGAGCGGAGGGAATCCGCGGTCTGGGGCCTCCCCCCGAGGGGCAAGAACTTGACCCAGCAGAGGAGGGCCACCTCGGCCAGGAACAGCAGTAGCCCCAGGGCGTTGGAGAAGCCCCAGGCCAGCTCGATGTAGGGGCGCAGGACGAGGTGGGGCGACTGGGCCACGCAGCGCAGGTTGTGGATGTTGCTGACGGCCTCCAGGTGCGGCAGGATGCAGGTGCTGACCAGCAGGGCGAAGAGGTGCAGGGCCACCAGCACGGTGGTGACCACGCTGAAGGACACCAGCAGGCCGGGGGGGTAGGGGTAGTCGTCCTGCAGGGACACCTCCACCATGGCGACCTGGGGAGATAAGATATCGCTGGTCAGCACCAGCGAGGCTCAACTGGACCGCTCCCACCTCCATGCCCCGGCCAGTGGCCTGCTGGGTAAGGGATCCATCGGTGTTGCCCCCACTGAGCGGATTTTGGGGAGCCCTGCTCTAGAGACACCAGCCTCAGGCTCAATTCAAGGTCTATTATCCTCTGGGGGAAATTATGTCTTACTGCACAGGCCAACACAACAATACAACAAACATTACCAACAGGGAAGACAGCAGAACATACAGCAGCTAAGAGAGACACTTCGAGTGAGATGGTTTCAGCTCTCATAAGACAAAGTTTGCGGACACAGTGATTCAAATCTGATTGGAGTGAGACAGCTGTCAAACTTTCTGACACTTCCTGCGCCTTCTACCAGCTGAAAAGACACCTGGCCATTTCCTGCTGTGGGATTTCTGGTTTCCTGTTTACCCTCCTGAGGGCTGCGATTGGCCCACCCACCACAGGGAGGGGGCGTGGCGTTGGGGGGGGTTCTAACCAATGAGAGCGTGGTTGTCGGGGGCAACAGCGGCCAGACAGGAAACGCCGTGGCCCTGAGGAGGAGCGTGAGCACGGGAAGTGGTGAAACGTCTCTCTCAGCTGGGGAATCTGTTCTGTATTCATTCCAAAGCTTTCATTCTGCAATACAGGCGGCAACACTCTGTCGGAGCAACTGACCCGCTCCCCAGCGTGAAACCCCTGACCCGGTTGTTTTTCATTTCAGTGACACAGCACGGCCCCCAGACGGACATCAGGAACTCGGCCTGTTCTTCTTATCAAGCTTGAGCCAGCAGCCATTTCACCCTGAAACTCACA